CCTTAGATAGGAGATCAAGTTTCCAATTAGGCAGTCTACCCTTAATTGTGATCCATTCATTGACATTCCGCTGCCACAACCGTGAGTACCCGATCGCAAATATGTCTAGAATTACGTTAACTTCCCCAAGAAAATTATAGAGTATTCAGTAGATTCATAATTTATGGCGTTCAACTACCAGTTTTGATGTGAACCAAAGTTGATTATACGACAATTTTTAAACAGTAAATTTCAGAGATTTTGACTTTTTCAAACCAAAACTGATTTCTTCGAATACACCGTTTGCTCCGCTGTGCACACCTATAAATTACGAGAGGCCAAACACGAGTCTTCTGGATGCAGTTGCATCAGTATATGTCGGAGATGGAACAACTGTCTGGTAAGCAATGTACATCACAAACGTCCAAAGGTTGAATCTGCAAGATTGGAACTGACAACTTCCAAGCCGCAATACCTGAGAGATCGGAAAAACAGTGAAACTACAAAAAAACGGACGGACCGAATTCTGACAATTGTTGACTCTGCAGCCGACATATTGAAACTTGTGACTAGATACTTCGAGTAAATCATTCCAGATAAGAGTGGCAGCCAACCATAACGGTTCCACGACTCAGTAAGGTGACAGAACAGTTTCGTGAATTGGCCAACTGGTCCACCTGAGTAGAGCTGGTAATCAGCGTCTGCGTTGTGGTATTTGCGGAATCAGTGTTGTTCACGTTCACATCACTCTCGTCTGAACAGTGTTTCTCCCAGTGTACTTATCTCGGTGACTCTAGGTCAGACTGAAGGATCGCCGTATTCGACTATAACTCTTAATACAGCTGGTCAGCAGTGCATAAACTTAGCCATGCTGGGGCTTAAACTCCAGACATCTAACCGGTGAGGCCTATGTGCTAAGACTACTGGATCAGTGAACTCTGGACATATCTGAATCATTAAATCTGAACAGGTGAGTGTTCATGCCTGGGTAATGTCATTAGTTTGCCCGACACCTCTAATTCCGACCCAGTAACAGTCCTGGTGCAGACAGACTTTCCCGCCTGCTGTGACATTCATGTCAGGTAGCACCACAGACTTCCGAAGGTTGCTAGCTATTTTTTTGAATAGTTGTGGGTGGGAGTTGTAAGTTTCACATTCACAAAGCATCCACTGAAGACGTCCGATCCATCTGGCACCAAAGTTCGACAATCGATGTTCAGACACATGACCTTAGAAACTCCGAATGCTTATCCGTTGTCCAACAGTAGCAGGAAGGTTACGAAAAGCTTCTGGGCTCAAAAGAAGTTTTGTCGTTATACTCAGCACGCTGCCTTATTAGCCAGGGACAAAAAGTGCGTCTTTTATCAAGGAAATTGCGACATTATATTATTCCTATGACAGGTTTTAGTGAATATTTTGTAACTTAGGTTCCAAATGGCCTTTACGCAGGAATATACCACTCAAATTTACACGGTAGTGGATAAATGTAAGATAACGGGTAAGCTGTGGACAGTGGATGAGTGTAGCTGCTTTTAAGACATTAGCTTCTTCATCCAGTCTGCTTCAGCCAGAGCATTTCAATACCACTCCTATCCCTAAATCAGAGTTGAACCATTTACCACAGCAAAAACGTTGACTAGTCGTCAGCACGTGTACGGTACCTTCTTTATTTTTTAGGTTTAGTTGGTTCTAGAAGAACTAGGTGTTGGTAAATTCCTGACCAGAAGCCTGTTTACTTGATTTTTCAAGTGTACGAAGTATATGTTTTATCCAAAGGAATGCTACCATTTTTGTTTTTCTGTTCAGGAATGTACATCTCAACACGTCCTATGAGTTGGCTGGAAGTAAACCTGCAAGAAAGTTCTCTTTCTGAAAATCTTAACCCTTCAACCTCATTGCATATTTTCATCCCCACCGGCTTCACACTTTTCTTCTTTGATAAAAAGCGTTACTGTCTTTTCCGTGTATCTGGTAGTTCAATAGCATCCTGATGAATCAAGAACGCGCCTTAAGGAGAAGTCGTTGTTATCCATGAGGTTTGCGGAGAAAGTTACCCATGATATCATAGCAATAGCGCACCGAATAGTATGGGTCACTCAGGCTGCACAAACCAGCGTTCAGTTATCCTTTCCCGAGTCAGATAAAACAATGAAACGTTTGCAACCAAATTGCCCAGCTCAGCGAACAAGCCAACGACCATCTACGCTACCTGAGCTACCGACATTCTCCTCTATAGAAAATGACCAACTTCTCACATTGTACTCGGGACACTAGCACATAGAACTATGTATGGCTTGCAAATCGATCAGTGGCACACAGCGGGCCATTTTCTGTTCTGATTACAGTCCTGGTTCTAAGTTGTAGTCCAGCCTTTTGGTGGTGCCTATTTACAAAGCAACCTTTACCAATAACATTCTTATGAAACCCCGACCTAAACGTTCTTACTGTGGGATTAAGAAGCAACATAAATGGGTTTACTTCATGGAGCGCATTGTCTACGAGGCGTCCGATTCCGTGTAATGGTAAAAAAAAATTGCGACACGGAATTTGAATCGCCTTTTGAGGAATTCGGTATATTTTGGAAGCAGCACTGTTCAAAGAAGCCTCATTTCAGATCGAACGAAATCATGCCACTAGGTGGAAATTATAGCAGGCAATACTGTTCTGCTGGAAAATACTGTAGTTAATTGTTTACAGTTAGGTAGAACAGTCAAAATATTTGTTTGTGTTCGGCGTTTGTTCACAAGCTCGAGAATTCGAATTCGTCTTGTAACGGTGTTATGTGGACCAACGAATAACATGGCAGTTTTCTTCACCACTGCCAGTCGATCGCTTATTGGTTGGCGTGTAGCATCCGCACGTGGATTGCAGTGTTTTCACATAACGATTTTCGGAAAGATTGACAAAACTCCTACGCTATCTACGAAAAGTGTGCCGACTGCCGAGTGCAGAACGATAAATAATGCTGTCAGAAATGAGTACAGCATCACGTGCCGGAATCGCGATTCACTGTCCTTGACGTTGGATTGCATAAATTGCGTAGCTGGCGGGTAGCCAGTGCAGCTTCAGAACCGTCCGAAAGTGACTTTATTTTATAACTGCCCAATAATTGCTTTCATCTTGGTATTCTAAATATCAATTGTTCATGAGAAACGCGACGCGTGTAAAAAAAGCTCACATTTTGTCATAGACCGATGGAAACAGCCTGACGGTCCCTTTGTAGTGGACAGACAATACCGAGCAGGTATAGGTCAGTTAACGGCCAAAAACTTGTTCTCTTATTTTTTCATGACCGATGTCTTGACAACTAGGATGCTGTAGAAATAGTCGTAAATAGCAATTTTCTTTGATTTTTCAACTCTTGCAGGGAAATTTATGAAATTAGGTTGACTGATGGCATCCATCTAGAGTGCCTGATTGGAAAAACAGCACCTCAAGAATTCCATCAGCAGAGACCTGAAAGCTAAATTACATGAGATTTTTCTGAAGGTTTACATTACTCAAGCTACGTGAACATTTGAAAAAAAGGGATGATTCCCTCTGTAGGCGAATTCAACTACCAGTCTTTTGATAGTGCCCGTTACGTAGTTAGGAATAAGAGTTCAAGAGTAGTCCGGCTTTCGCAAGCTAACCTTTCAGAGTGCCAACAAAATCGGAGTAAATCACAGCCGAATCCTACCAGTGAAAATCCGGAGACTTTTTAGTGGGTGGTGATGTCTGCTCGATATAAAAAGAGCTCTCAACATACTTGTGCACGTCATGATATCCGAAGTAGTTGAAGTGGAAATAAACCCGTGTTTTTGGGGTTTTATGACCCACGGATTCCATTATCCACAGAGAGCACCGGTGGATCGCTGCCGGTAAAGTACATTCCTTCACTAATTTCTCACGCTTTTATATCCGTTTTTACTGTGCGCATTCTTTTTCACTCAGCAGTCTCAAATCGTTCCAGCTGGTAGTTTCCCTACTGTTGGTATGGAACTGAAAGAAAGTGAGATCTTAGAGATTCCCCAAGATCTTTTAATCATACAAACTAGGCAGATTTGCTGACTTTCCAAATGAACATTCCGAATGTTGGAAATCACAGTGTTGTTCAAAATGAAGGAGATAATTAGTCACAGTTAGCGGCATATTTATCCACTGTATCGAAGGGTGCAACGAAAACTCGTCATTTTTGTGATCGTCGTGGCCCATTATAACTAGTCATACTCGTATTAGCGTGACTAGCATAAAACATAAAATTTTTGCACGGTGCGTCTAAATGATAGCTTGGTCCTAAATGAAGGTGGAAGAACTTACTCGTTGGAGAAGGATGTCTTGTATTGCTATGGTATTTTACTTCAGTTGCATATAATACTTCGAAATAAACTAAATCGGTAGCTCCCAGTACGTACTACGACTAAACATATGTGAAAATGTCGCTCATGAGATTTCACGTCACATGTGATTGATCTGATTGCCGGGAGAAATCAGGTAAACAATTCTAGTCGGCGAGCTGAATCATCTCGTCGTCCCGACTAGGCAGCCTGGACGTCAGCCTGGGTGAGCTAAGAGTCCAGTAACTCCAGACAAGGCTAACCACCCTGTTTGGCTTCAATGTGCTGGTTACTTTCGACAATGTACATGAGGAATCATCTGGCTCCTCCGTACCAGTTCCAACCAGTGCACAGGAGACACTCGTGAGGCTCACGTGTGAGGAATGTGGCAAGTGCTGGGAATCGAAGTCACGACAATGAAAGGGTTGGTACGAACATGGTCATCCAATTGACCTGCGCTGATAGCTGCCGCCTTTTTCTGACGAAGGTTGGCTCAAGTCACCATCACCGGAAGACACACCCCACCAGCATAATGCATATAACCTTAGCCAAGCGAAGTATTCCGGAGTCACAATCACTCCTGATCCTGGCTAACAATTTATATCCGTCTTGTGACACGCAAAGAGCGCTGTTCGCGAGATTGGAGGAGTGGTTGCTTGGTCGATCGGCTATCAATATCAAAACTAGGTTACGGGTGCTTAACAGGACGAATCATCATCTGGTGAACCTGACCAAACTATTGGTCGAATAGCAGCCTACAGTTCGGAAGCTGATGACTATAGTGTCTGGTTAAAACAAACCGTGGATTGCGCCGTGTCACTCTTGGAATCCCATGCTGACAGTTCACTTGCTGATGTTGACCTTCTGGCGTTTGCCCGAGGTTTGCGGTCTGGCATCATGACACCGGAGCATGACACCTGTCGTTTCTGGACCTCTACGCCTCCGGGACGTTTTGACACACCTGGAAAACTGTATCCCGACACCGCCGTCAGTTAGCCCATCGAATGCCGATCAACCGAAAGCAGATCCGCCGAGCCAAATACGCTATCATACAGACCCTATACCACCAAAGTCGGAAAGATGCGACGTCTGCTGTGCTCGATGGATCATGGAAGGATCCATACAAAGGTAACTACGGCGTACCTCTGGACGCCGAGCGGTATTTGAAACAGGTGCCCTCAGCTCCAAAACACGTGGATAGCGGACCAACTTGCGTAGTATGCCGTTCGATCGAGTCAATTACAGGACTGGAAGTTGGTCGTACTATCCGTTTAATAGACAATTCGGTCTTAGGCCTGTATGAGCTCACGCCCAAGATGCTTCGCCGGTTCAATGCTAACGCGCTCGCCAGGTATTTCAACTTACTCTTATTATCTGGGGGTTGTCCCCCAAATTTGTGTAGCGCCCGTTGTACTCTAGTTCCGGAGGTTCCCAATCCGATTTCACCGAATCAACTGAGACTGATCTCCTTGACATCCATTCTTGTTCCATTCTTGCAGGTGCCTGCTGATCGCTGGAGTCGTAGATTGCAAGTGCCCTCACTTCAGTTTGCACTTCTGCATCGAGACGGCTGTTTGGAAGCCACATCGCTGTTGCATGCCCTGCTTCGTCACTCTTCAGCGACTGCTTCTAAACTCAGCTTGGCGTTTGTTGATATCTTTAAAGCGTTTGATTCGGTTTTGCATGACACAATCGTCAGATCTGCCGAGACGTTTGGAGCACCGTCACCTTTAGTTCGCTACATCGCAAAGTCTTATTTGAATGCTGTAGCAGTTTTCCGAGGTTCACTGCCACAGAGGTGTGAGGCAAGGGGATCCACTCTCCCCATTATTATTCATTATGATAATGGATGAGGTTCTTGGATTGTTGATGCCGCAAGTGGGATACCAGTTCCACAACACCCTATAGATGGTTTTGTCTTCGCTCACGACTGGGTTGTGTGTGCAGAAAGACATGCTCGCCTCAAAGAAAAGCTTGAAGCTGCTGCGGTCGAGTTGGGAAGAGTTGATATGAAGAAAAACGCTCAAAAGAAAGAAGCGATGGTGATTTGTGGGGACAGGAAACGTCGGTCGAATCATTTTGCTTCAACGAGGAACTCATCAATCCTCTGGGTCCGACAGGCACCGTACCATATTTTGGCATCGCCTCCACTTTCAAGGGAAAGGGTTCTTCAACCACCGATAGCGTCTGCTCAAACTGCTCGATGAGGTGACGCGTGCCCCGTTGAAGCCGCATCAAAGAATGGAGATCACGAGAAACTACCCGATACAGAGGCTGACACAGACGGCAGCATAGCCTCGGATGGGTGTGGAGTGAGTGTGTGGAACAAGAAGAGGCAGAAGTATGGTGCTGATGAATATTCCCTCGCCATAATCTGAACATACGTGCATTTGGTTGTGATGTCGAATTTTCGGTCCACCAACCGATTACAATCTCTTATCGAGGAACCTGATTTCCTTAGTCCGCCAGGGCTGTTATTGACGTTGTGGGCTCTCTGCTTACTTACGACACTTCAATGCGTGGTACACGGCGATGAATGTACACTCTCGTCATTGATTCTCACACCAGACTCAGTATGGCGGATAAATTGTGCCTGATGTGCGAGTCTTGACTATGCTAGCACTTACCGCGCCTTGAAGAGCATTCAGCATTGTTTGTCCTTTCTTCGGTTGTTGGTCTTTACACGTGTGTTTCCATACCAGACATTGCTACATACGTCGGGATTCCTCTAGTCTGATTGGGACTGTTGGTGATATGACTTCGAATGGGACGCTTCCCTCCTTTTATCAAACATTATCCTGTAACACTTTCACATTTATCGCTTGCATTCACTCTTTATATCCGCGAACATACTCTTCAAAAATAAACAGCAAAAAGAGGACGTTATTTTGTATCCCCGGAAGCCGCGCTNCGGTTCAATGCTAACGCGCTCGCCAGGTATTTCAACTTACTCTTATTATCTGGGGGTTGTCCCCCAAATTTGTGTAGCGCCCGTTGTACTCTAGTTCCGGAGGTTCCCAATCCGATTTCACCGAATCAACTGAGACTGATCTCCTTGACATCCATTCTTGTTCCATTCTTTCAGATGCTTGCTGATCGCTGGAGTCGTAGATTGCAAGTGCCCTCACTTCAGTTTGCATTTCTGCATTGAGACGGCGTTTTGGAAGTTGCGTTGCTTTACGTGCTCTGCTTCGTCACTCTTCAGCGACTGCTTCTAAACTCAGCTTGGCGTTTGTTGATATCTTTAAAGCGTTTGATTCGGTTTTGCATGACACAATCGTCAGATCTGCCGAGACGTTTGGAGCACCGTCACCTTTAGTTCGCTACATCGCAAAGTCTTATTTGAATGCTGTAGCAGTTTTCCGAGGTTCACTGCCACAGAGGTGTGAGGCAAGGGGATCCACTCTCCCCATTATTATTCATTATGATAATGGATGAGGTTCTTGGATTGTTGATGCCGCAAGTGGGATACCAGTTCCACAACACCCTATAGATGGTTTTGTCTTCGCTCACGACTGGGTTGTGTGTGCAGAAAGACATGCTCGCCTCAAAGAAAAGCTTGAAGCTGCTGCGGTCGAGTTGGGAAGAGTTGATATGAAGAAAAACGCTCAAAAGAAAGAAGCGATGGTGATTTGTGGGGACAGGAAACGTCGGTCGAATCATTTTGCTTCAACGAGGAACTCATCAATCCTCTGGGTCCGACAGGCACCGTACCATATTTTGGCATCGCCTCCACTTTCAAGGGAAAGGGTTCTTCAACCACCGATAGCGTCTGCTCAAACCGCTCGATGAGGTGACGCGTGCCCCGTTGAAGCCGCATCAAAGAATGGAGATCACGAGAAACTACCCGATACAGAGGCTGACACAGACGGCAGCATAGCCTCGGATGGGTGTGGAGTGAGTGTGTGGAACAAGAAGAGGCAGAAGTATGGTGCTGATGAATATTCCCTCGCCATAATCTGAACATACGTGCATTTGGTTGTGATGTCGAATTTTCGGTCCATCAACCGATTACAATCTCTTATCGAGGAACCTGATTTCCTTAGTCCGCCAGGGCTGTTATTGACGTTGTGGGCTCTCTGCTTACTTACGACACTTCAATGCGTGGTACACGGCGATGAATGTACACTCTCGTCATTGATTCTCACACCAGACTCAGTATGGCGGATAAATTGTGCCTGATGTGCGAGTCTTGACTATGCTAGCACTTACCGCGCCTTGAAGAGCATTCAGCATTGTTTGTCCTTTCTTCGGTTGTTGGTCTTTACACGTGTGTTTCCATACCAGACATTGCTACATACGTCGGGATTCCTCTAGTCTGATTGGGACTGTTGGTGATATGACTTCGAATGGGACGCTTCCCTCCTTTTATCAAACATTATCCTGTAACACTTTCACATTTATCGCTTGCATTCACTCTTTATATCCGCGAACATACTCTTCAAAAATAAACGGCAAAAAGAGGACGTTATTTTGTATCCCCGAAAGCCGCGCTGATGCCAACATCTGAGGTAAACAGAGCACAATCCGTGAGGGAATCCGTAAATCCTTGGAAGACATTCTGATTCAGCTTAACCAGGTGATGAGAAAATTCTACATATAAGTGTTTTGTTGAATTGATGGGATACTTAACTTCAAGCATTTATGTTGAACCGGGAAAAGTACTACTGGTCTTTGGTGCCCCAGCATGTGAATTTAGTGGAACGAACTATAGACAAACTTAGAAGTATGTCTTATCGAATCTCTCGAAAACAACGTTCATTGGTTTATTCACAAGCCCACTGAAATGAGGAGGTATAGGGGTTAATTTCCTCCCATGGTTATTTTAATCAACATTACATCACTAATAATTACTGATGTTTTGTCATCATATGCGATAGCACTCATTAGGTCCACTGGAGTGCACTCCAGAGTTACTCGTGAGATAAATATTGAAGGCACCAGCAGTATCGCAGTTGCGTGCGCAGCAACTAATTGGCGGAATTTACGATTAAATGAGATCCAGGAAACCACTATGTTGCTTAAGCGTGGACAAGTGGGTGACTGGCATTTCCATTTCAAACGTTTAGCCGCGGGGCAGAACTGGTCGGTGTTACCTGGAAACCGTAATATAATGGCTTCGTTTACGTCATCATATAATCCTAACTTCAAACAATTGAGATTCTCTGTCGAGTAACTAACTTACCTTCTAACAAAGACTAACTGTTTCTGACCGTTCCGGAGTATCGGGGTACGCATTCTTACCAGCCAGTTACGTCAGTTGCCACTTACTTCCCTAGGTCGGATTTGCCAAAAAGGAATTTGAGGAGTCGGCAGTCAGATAAAAAGACCAGCACATGATTCCCAGTGCACCCTTTCCGTTTGAGCGTACAAAACTAGAACAGTATGACTTTACTGTCCATGAGCCCTGAGCTTGAAAATAAATATAACATATGCTATATATATACTATAATATAACAATGTTACGATAGCATAACGTACATTATATTACAGTATAATACAATAACATATTAATAACAGTCATTCTCGGGTATCTACCCAAAAGGCTCTGAGAGACATCATTTATTCGGGAACCGCAGCCTGGTTATATGAATTCAGATGCTTAGGTGAAATTTATTGTTCCCAAAACACCACGCCCACATGTCATAAAAATATTCGACCCAACAGCTTCGTAATCACGTGGCTGTCGAAATTGCATTTTCCAACCCAAACTCTCCGACGCTTTTATTATTGAGGTTGACATATGTCGGGGAAAAAACAACTTGCTTTTCTGTATTTTTCTGCTATAAGCCAACAACACACCGCAATCGAATTCCCACATCCTGCGAGTTCAGTTAGGAATTTGTGAAAAGTTACAATACGTTTTCGGCAACCGCTGGAATCCAAACGAAGATAAGCTCCAATTAGAAAGACAGGTTGCTTGTGTCTGAGCGTCAGACACTTCGATAGTCTATGCAAATAAATAGACGTGACATACAGTCTGGCAACGGAAAACAGAATAGATAACGTTCACAGACAAATAGCTTAAGCGTGGCAGCCACTCGATCTCGTACAGCGATATAGTCGGTCAGGGTCTCAAAGTGACCGAGTGCAGTCCGTACTATTTCTCTAAAGGTTAGTGAGAATGACATTCAAGCACGACAAACGTGCATCAGTGCTACACGTTCGCCATGGAAGTGCTCAATTATAAATAATAACAGACACAGACATGAGTATGGGCACGCCATCACTGCATCTCTCTACGGTGCACGAATGTGCAGGTATGTAGAGCGAACTGTTTTGGAAAGCACTGGTGAACCAGGCACCGAACACGCCTTGGTATGCTTCAAGAATAATGGACACCTGGCACCTCTAACAGAGGTCACCTAAAGTGCATAATTAAGTGTTGGCCAAAAACCTAGAACAAAACTGTTACCCACTGTTTCGGACGTAAACAGTGCTCAACCCTCGCAGTGATCACTCCTTTGGTATTGATACATTCTCAGAAAACTCAAAGATGTAACCGAAAATCCAAAGTCCTATCCCATACACACCTGTAAACGCACGTTTAAGAGCTCATAACTACTGCATAGCCTGATTGACCCACTGGCCTCCTCCCTTTAATTAGGCCTAACGACCAAATCCATGACTGGTGTGTAAAACGATAGCGCTTACGAACAACAGAATGTTGGACAACTCTGGAGGCCTGCTCAAAATCTACTGACATCAACTGGGGGTCATCCGGGGTCAGTTGTGGGTACGTTTGCAACTAACCCAATATCAAATGAAACATTGGTGACGTCCGGTGACGCTTCGCAGCGTTGAGGCCTGCAATTCCGAGAAAGCTTTGAGTTAAGTGCTTCGTGCCTGTAGC